ACCTACATAGTATAAATAAAATACATATCAATAACAATTAGCGGGTATGGGGATCCCCGATGGGGATTTATCCCCGCGGGTAATTGGGATGGGGAGAAAATCCTCCCCGAAAGCATAAATGGGGATCCCCATGGGGAGAAAATTCTCTCGCGGGGATGGGTATGGGGAGTCAATACCCGATGGGGAATTCCCCATTGCCATCACTATCCACAATGCTTTGTGTCTCTTTTTGTATATATGCCAAATAAATAGACTTAAGTTCATAATGACACAGACAAACTCAAACTAAAAAATTCAAAATCTATTCAATGCAAAACAAAAAAGTACTAGGTCTAGAATACATGACAACCAATAAAAATGCTCTAATATATTTCATTTATTAATAAATAAAAATTAAATGAGGAATGAATGATGAGTGCTTGGATTTGTACTTGAGTCTAAAATAGACCCAAGTGTAGACTAGGTCTCATTTTTTGTTGCCACATAAGTTAGACTAGGTCCACTTTTCATTGCATTGGGGAACACTTTTTTATAGACTAGGTCTATTTCTTACATGGCATGTAATTTTTTTCTAAGAGACCCAAAGCATTGTGGGTTCTCACATAGCCCGTGTGTAGACGTGGGCAAAACAAAAGTCGATTTCGGTTAGAGATGACAAAGGGTCGACCGACCTGGATACGTTGGTTTATGAAGACCCTAAACCCTGTCAGGCCGGTCCTGGGTTTTGTATGTTAGAAAAAAATATGAGTGTAAAATGGGCCCATCATTTAATTATATTATATCTATAATTAATAGTGTATAATGCACTAATTATTGAGTATGTTAGTTGTAATCATGTGGAGGAATCCACAGCTTGGCAATCAGATCTTGTAAATGATATTCAATTGGCCACTGATTATGTTAGTTGTAATCATGTGGAGGAATCCACAACTTGGCAATCAAATGCTTGTAAAGGATATTCAATTGGCCAAATTGTTCTATCCCTTGCAAATTTGTACTTATAAAAGGTCTTTGTCAGATTGGAGAAAAAGAGTACCGAAAATAAGAACCAAACAGAAGAGAAGAAGAGGGGAAAGAAAGAGAAAGGAAAGAAATATAGATTTATGTCCAAATATCGGATATAAAAAATATCAAAAGAGAAAAAACAAGTGATATTTTTATGTGTTTCAAGATATTCCTTTTATTACTAAGTGCTCAATTCTCGATTCCGTTCATGTTGACGTTTGCCGTTGTATCTTTGGGGAAGTTACGTCTGAACCGTTAGCTGACACACGGGGCGTATTCTTCTTGCGGAAAGAGTTTTACTCGCCTCGGCTAAATTCTTTCCGTTTTTCAGTTGTAATTTATTTTTCAGTTCAATTGTAATTTTCTATTTTTAGATTATTTGTAAGAACTAAAATTACATATCAGTTCGTAAGATTCCCGTGTATTTTACACCAAATTTCCAACAAT